TATATCATCTATTGCAAATTGTACCTTTGTTTTGAGTTATTTTCATTTAAATCTTATTTACGCTCTTATGTCTTTAATCCAGATATTTGTTGGACATGTCAGTGGCACACCTTCAGCATATAAGCATTTTTGATTATGCATCCCAAAGATGCAGCTTTGCGGTTATTGATGATTGCTTTAACTTACCATGTTAGTAATAAGTTAATTCAATATGGTGGTTTTACTTGCACAAGGTACCCTGGTCTTTTACATGCGCTTTAACCATAAGGTTGGCTGCAGATTATGATCAGGACAGCATATGCACTAATTCTGTCACCTAGGATGTAGTTTTTATTTTATTTTTCGGCACCATACCCTGGGATACTTTTTCTACCCTTTTTTTCCTCCTATTGGTTCCATTCATCTTTTTTTGTTTTATTTGCCTCACTTTAACCCCTTCATGACTGAGCTTGTTTTTGGTTTCTGTTCGTAAATACTCCAGTGCCTTTCCCTGTCTCTAATGAGATCGCTCTGACCAGGAGGCTGACAGCAGCTCCGGTTGCTAGGTTACCCCGATTCATACTACGCATGCGTGGACTGAAGGGACCGGGACACTGAGCTCCATTGGAGGGAACGAGTATAGCATCCTGTTTGCCAACACCACGACATACTTGATAGGCAACGGCTGCGTCAAAAACAACGATTCTTTTTTCTCTGCACACTGAGGCATTCAATTATTTGTAAAATACATTAAATACCTTGCTGAAGAACTTAATGTTAATTCTCCAGAGCGGACTCCTGTCTCAATTGTCTTCTACAGCATGGTATTTTGCAGTACACTGTGATCATTTGAATGAGGTTGCTTGGTGGGAATATGACGCCATTCTGACGACAGGGGGGTGGGGGACCGTTTTTTGTTTTTTTTTCCATTTGGTCTCACTGGTTGTGTCACTGTTAATGTTGGTTATACAACATTCTGGTTTTCAGTATGCTTTTAATCACATCAAGTCTGATAAAGGGGACCCTGCGTGACCCCGAAACATTGCACTTTTTGATGTGACATAATCCGTGAATAAAAGATATGTTTTTCTGGACACAATTTAACGGTGGGCTGGTGATGTTTCTGATATCGGTCTGACTTCTGCGGCGCCATCCGCAGTCATTATAGCACCCACTTGCTCATTAAAGGGGTATCCGATAAGGAGTGCGGCAGTATCCTCATGAGGTGTTAGGAAGAGGCTAATTGTTAAATAGTTCATTTTAAGTGTTCGGCTAAAGTATGAACTTAGAGAGACAAAACAAATGATTGAACTAAAATTAGAAAGTTCACTTAGTTCGCCGTAGGCTTCATTCAAACCTCATCGTTTTGGTGTTCTGAGGTTTAAATACAAAAACAAAAAACCTGCATGCTGCATTTGTGGTATCTGCAAAGCGTTCCTTTTATGCCAGTTGCCTTGATTTTACTTTTTTTACAGATCTAGCATGACCTGGATGATTGAGAACCTTCACAGACATTTTATGATGCGATGAATGTATTTGTAACGTACCTACAATGTACTACACTGAAAAGCAGCCCTATTCTCAGCTCTTGGTATTGCAGCAAGAAAGAAAAAAAAACTTACAAATTACTTTGTGCATATGCAACAAAAAGAAAGAACCTAAAGCTGGCGTGTATGGGAATTCCTCTCACTACAGCAATCACTGTATGAAAAATGTATATAATGAGAAGGCAGTCCGTACGTAAGTAATTAACCAGTTGACATCCGCGGTGTTAAACCCCCTTCCCATCCAGGCCATTTTTCAGTATTCAGCGCTGCGGTACTTTGACTGACATTTATTCCGTCATGCAGCGCTGTACTGAAATGAATTTTATACCCTTTTTTGGGGACAGATAGAGCTTTCTTTTGGTGGTATTTATTCACCACTGGGGGTTTTATTTTTTTACTATATTAAGGAAAAATTACCAAATTTTTTAAAAAAAACACAGTTTCCCCTATATTAAATTATAAAACATTATTACCCAATTTTTTGGTAAAATATAAAAGATGGGGTCACGTCGGGTAAAAAGACACTAAACATGTCAAGCCTTAAAATTGCGTGCGCGCGCGAAACCTCAAAAAACGATAATACCCAAAATTGGCCACCGTGCGTGCCCGCTAGGGGGCGCGCGCGAGCAGAAAAAAATTGCCGTCTGGAGACGGCAACCAGCAGATGCTGCAGTGCCGTCCGTCCGTTTTTTTTACTACGGGCGGACTGCAAGAGGTTAAAGCAAAAATGCGGAACGCATGTTGAAGCATTTACTACATGAGCTTTTCTGCCTCGTTTGTCACGCATTTAGGACCCCACTGAACTAAATGGGCATGCGTGGCACGCGCAGCACAAAAACATGAACGAATGCGCATGGAACGGCATGGTGTAAGGAACATAGCTGCACACATTAAGATTCACATTTATTTTCAACACAGAGCGAATTTACCAGCAAAACCTCTACCACAAAGCAATAGAATTATGTTCAGGTATGAATACGGATATAACAAAGCTGCATGTCTGCTTATTCTATGACCATGGATAAAAATGCCATGCTTGTAAGGACAAATTTACATTTAGTAAAGTTGTCCTTAAAACAAAGCCCCCGCAATTTCCTTGAAAATAGCTCAGTTAAATACTTACCTTCATCACCACCACAGAGTTCTTAATGGCTCAGCCCTGCCCAGAGCTCACAAGTGCTTTTGCCCATTAATGCATAGTCTGTAGTCTGCTGGATGATCAAGAGCTACAGTGAGTATGTACCATCCATCGGACTGAATGTGCGTGTACACATTAGGCAGAGGGCCCGGCTGAAAAGTTCTGAATGCAAAGCTGTGCAACACTGGGTAGGGCTACACAGAGAAAACTCGGGAGAAATGGTTTAGGCAAATATCTAGCCATGTCTGCTACACTCAGGGTAGTGGGGAGTTTATGTAAAGGACAAAAGTGAACTTCTCCTTTAACAATGATTCTAGGTTGCCTTTACTAAGTCTTCCAAAAGTCTAGAAGGCCAATGAGCTAATTTTTAAGGAAATCTAAACAAACATTTTTCTACAGTTCCTTAAAGGAGAACTATGGGGTTAAGGCTTTTCCCCATAGTTCTCCTTAGGGTAACGGGTGGACACAAACTAGCGTCCTCCCATCACCCTAGGCTCAGTATACCGCGAGCTGTCCCTCGCAGTATACTGAGACGCCGCAGTATACTGCGAACTGCTGCTCGCGGTATACTGAGACGCCGCAGCTGAAGCGGATCCCGACAATTATGCCGGGATCCGCCCAGCTGCGTGACTGACAGCTGGCTCTGCCTATCTAGAGGCAGAGCCAGCTGTACCCGCCCCCTCCGTTCCGCCAGTCAGCGCTGGCGGATCGGAGCGGGGAGGGGGGAATCCAGCCGGGGAGCCGTGATGGGATCGAGAGGTGAGCGAACGCCGGTATGTGTTCGCTCACCTCCCGATCTACTGAGCCGACCTGTGGCAGTCTCATTGTCACAGGTCGGCTTGAACTATGAGGTGAGTGAAAAGCATTCACCTCATAGTTCTCCTTTAAAGGCATAGCGCCATGCAGGTTTTGAATAGAGTAGAGAGGGTCTATTTGACCACACATGTGGCCATTTTCTGAAAATTACAATCAATCTCAACTAGCTTGGAGTCATATGAATGATCCCATAGATTACTTGAACCTAATAAAGAGCAATTTATAATTAAAAAAAAAAACAACAACCATGAACAGATTTGAAAGTGTTGGTGGAAGTTTGCGTCAAACTGTTTTTGTGACCTGAAATTGGCTGAAGATTGCCATGTATATCTCTAACATTGTTACTCTATGAGGTTTTTTATAGCGGTGTCCTTGTTAGATTCTTTTATTCTCAATCGTTGTCCTAGGGCACCAATGTCCTTTCCCACACTATGTTTAAAACTAAAAATAAAGCTAATTAAATTTGCCTGGCATTTCATGTTAGCTACTTGTCTTGATCTCTGAAGCAAAAGGGATGCCGATTTTCAAGGTGACTGGTTTTGATGATCTAGAATTATTTTTGCTCATGTGCTCTCCCTGTGTTAAGTTCAGTAGACATCGACTGGAGGCATGTTATGTCTGTGCTCACCTTCATGGACCGGAATGTCATAATGAGCAGCAAGAGAAGATAACTAGTGTCAATGTAAAGGTGGCCATACACTTTACAACCATCGCAAGACCTTAGTCTTGCGATGGTTGTAAAGCAATTAAAAAAAAACTTACGATCTGCCCATCTTGGACAGGCAGATCGTACTTGCGATCATCGCAAGCCCGCCCCGCTGAGGGGCGGGCTTGCGATGACCGCAATGCTGAACGGGCAGTGTGCGTGTGCGCACACCGGCCCGTTCGGCATTTGTCTCCTGAGCATGCCGAAAACCGTAAGATTTTCGGCAGATTTTCGAACATGCTCATTAGACAAAAGACGTGCGATCGTACAGTAAAAACGGTCGCACGCCTTCGATACACTTTGCGATTATCGTACGATCGCGGGATCTGCGATAATCGCACAGTGTATGGGCACCTTAACTGGTACCTAGTGCCGCTCTGAAACTTTCAAATGTTATGCCCAAGTCAGCTTGTTAAAGGCCCCCTTAGGGGATGTACTTCTTGCAAGCTGTATCCACTGGAGTGTATTGGGAGCATTGACCCTAGCTACCAGGGAATACAGAAAGCATTCCCTTTATAGGTGAACAGCATTCCTTAAGAATTCACCAACAAGTGTTGGTGGAATCGAGATTAGCAAACATCAAATTGCATGTGTGAAGCCAATATACACGCCTGATATTCAGTAACTGAAAGGCCAAATTGGAAGCCCTTGATCATCATCAGTCTATTAGACAGTACAGCTAATGGTGACAGGTTAATCCTCACTGCTGGTGTGAATGAGGATCCACAAGCAGCAAAACAGATTACAAGCCCTTGCCTACAATATGAACACAATGGAAGCAGAGGCGTAGCAAATTCCAGGAATCAAAACGTACCTCTTCCTTTTAGCACTGCCGGTGTCAGATGTGGCGGAGGAAATCATGCTGTCGCCGTCCTCTATATCGAGGTCTCTACGAGCCAGCTCTTTCTTTTTCGCCTGAAATAAAGAACAAATCTCCAGAGTCAGCCTCGCTCTGCCAAACGTTCCCAGAATACATGAATATTAAACAGCTGCATAGATCAGTTTCACTCGGAAAAAGCTACAACTGGTATCAGGGTATAAATATTAAAAGCCTCCAGAATCTGTGATACAGCAGCTTAGACACATTTACATTTCATCATGCAAAACATTTCTGCACATTTGTTGCTGAAGCACAGTACTGCGTGTATAATGCCATCTCACTACTGCAGCAAACAGACAAGGACAGCTCGGAGCCGCTTAGGCCACGATGCCTTTTACAATAACTGCACCATTCCGAAAACTAAACCTTTCCACAAAAAACGTGAACACTGCTGGATTCAATATAATGTGTACACAGTAGACGTGCAATAAACTCAAATACGAGAAAAAAGGGTTTTCGTATTTTGCAAACCCAGAAGAACTAACGAAATGCTAAAAAACAATTCCTACATTACTCCAACGTTAAGACTTTATAAGTTCCAAAAGCAACGCATAGGGCACAATTTACTAATGGGTGACGGGAGGTGAAGTGCGTTAGATTTATAGTAAGCGCTTGCAAATAGAGTCTTCCTAACCCTTGTGTATTGAATTGTATTGTAACTTTACTGTCTCCCCACAAACTGTTGGTAGTATATAAATCCTGCAAGTTGTTGCGACAGTACAGTGGCACTGTACATTTAAGACCTGGTTCACATTCCCACGTTCTGGAACCGCAGGTTCACGCACAATTGCATGCCTCAAATGCTGCGCGGCCCTGTTGATGTCAATGGGGTCATATCTGTGCGGCACTAGGGCTCATGCACCTGCTTGTACGACGAGTAACCCGCGGTATTTTTGGCGTATGCGATTGCACTGCAACAACCGCGCGGATTGCTAGCCGCGATTGGGGTGCCATTAGAAATGAATGGCACCGCAAGCGCGATTTGCATTTGTGCACGATTCTGGGATTGTGAGCAAAACTCCAGTTTTAGTAAACTCCCCCCATAATGTCAATCATAATTTCTGCCCAGGAGGTTACAGAGGGAATCTGTTGACTTCTAGTAACAGGAGATTGTGCCCTGAGCTACAGGCAGACAATTTCTCACAAACACAACCTGGAAGCATATACAGCAGAGCACTATTTGTTCCGATCGCACTGGACAGGAACGCAGGCTATGCTGTGTCTGCGTTCTGGTGCGGGCGATTGCACTGTGGGCGGGGGTGTATGGCTGCGGTGCTATTGACTTTAATGCACCGCCACCGGGTTACTATGCCATACATTTTGTTTCAGCAGCTAACCATGATGGAACGCATTGTACATGGTGTGAACAAGCCCCGAGCTCTGTGAAACGCCGGCTGTTACGCACTTGAAGGAGCTTTTGCCAGTATTGGATTTTTTTTCACTGTTCCAGTGCAGATGAGAGCCTGAACATGGGCCAGATGTAGTAAAGTATGACGTGTGATGAAGAAAATCTGCATGAAATTACTTCATGAAATAGCTTCTTTTTTATGACTGGTTCATTATACCTCACTTAGTACTTTCTTAAGGTGCCCATACACCTTACGACCATCGCAAGACTTGTCTTGCGATGGTCGTATGCTTCTTGAAAGCCCGTACGATCTGCCCACCTTGGACGGGCAGATCGTACTTGCGATCATCGAAAGCCCGCCCCGCTGAGGGGCGGGCTTCCGATGACCGCAATGCAGAAAGGGCAGTGTGCGCGTCGGACGAGCAGGCTAGAAACCCGCCGACAATCGTACGAGCGTACTCATACGGTGACAGGATGGAATTGGTCTGCGTCCGAGCCAGAACACGCTCACCCGTACAGACCTGCACTTGGTGAGCGTAGGGCGGCGTACTCCCATAGAGGACAGGGGCTGCGTACCAATCACAAGCAGCAACTGTCCTTCCCGGTATCTGCCCGATACGGCCGCGCACACAGCACGGAGCTGTATGTGCCGGCCTTTTCTCGTGTGAATGAGGCCTTAACATCAATTTGAATTTGTCTGCTTAAATCTGAACACAGCCACATAGCTAATTATAAGACACATTATTTTAATTTGCCTACCACCACCCCTCCCACTAAACAATTTCAATTTGTCTTCCCAATTGATTTGTACAGATTATAGGTCACAGAGGTGAAAAAAAATTCTGAAGTGGTTTATCTTGGACTGATTTTTTTTTTACATCTCAAAAACCTGACATTTTTACAGGGATGTGTAGACTTTTTATAACCACTGTATGTCATCCTAGCCAATTAAGGGACCAAAGACGCCAAACCCAGAAGACCTGGCACATTATGGCAAATGCCTCCTGGTGGCCCAAAATTTACCATTTGTGGTGACAATTTACTACCTCTTTAGGGACTTTGACAAGTCAAGACATGGTTTGTCACCACTAAAATCAACTGAAGGGCAGAACCACCCAATCAGAACAGAGCTTTAGAAAGGGCTTGCAACCACTTTGTTAGGTCTTTAAAGACAGGTGCAACTTCTAGTTAAGGTAAGACACTGAGACCCCAAGTGAGCATGAACAACTTCTGCAAATTAAATCCACAAACACACAAGGCTAATAAGTGCTTAGGGGAGCAATCATCTCATTAGGATGCATCCAATCTCTGTAGAGAAATAGTTGAAAAACAGGAGGCAAGGGAATAGTCTTTGTAGCTTTAGAGATTCAAACAACCCAAGACTGGAAACGGCACAGAAGCAATACGCTGTTGCCATAGTTTTAGAGTAGTACACACTGCATCAATAAGGGCTGAAACAGTCTCCTTTAATTTGGGAGTAAAAGCAGTAGACTACGACTCCTCAGGGGTAAGCTCATCAATCAAAGCCTGAATAAGACAGACAGTCTCTTCAGCAGATGGCTTAGAAGACACTGGTAGATCACATACAGTATCTGCAGGTGAGAGCGTGCTTGTGGCCTCTGCGAACAGTCAGCAAAATAACTGGGTAATTTGGGCCATGAAGTCTTGCATGACAGTAGTAAACACCACAGCCAAAAGGGCAGAGGATGCAACCACACCTAATGGAACTAGAGAGGACTCCGCAGATAGACCCCAAGCAGTGGGCAACATGACTCCAGGCTGCAGGCATTCACATCATCACTAGGCACCTCACTCCACCCAGGGGATGATGTCAGTGGTCCGTCGCATAGTGTTAACAAAACTGGTGGGATGCGCAAGAATGCCACCTAGCAACCTACGTAAATGAGGAAGCTCCTGATGTTTGGCCCAACCAACCTACTTACTACATGAGTCTTCAGAGACAGGGCAAGCTCTAAGGCAATGCCAGCAACTCTGGACCTGAAAAGCACACTGCAGCTAACTTTTACTAGAACGGAGTCAGGAAGGCGCCCCACACAGAACCCAGTGCCGAAAGGTCACTTTCAGACTAACCCCAGTAACGTCTAGTGCACTGGGGTCTGCATGTGGTACGCCAAAGACCAGGCTAAGGATGACCACACCAGATAGCTGCAATTAAAGAAAGCTTCAGCAGCAATGTATTGAAGAGTCATGACTGGAGAAAAAAAAAAAAAAGAATAAAAGTGCCGACAGTAAGAGGGGTTATTCAGGGCTGGCCCGGTTTGTTTGCCAGTGTCCACTTCCCCTCTAGTCAGCAGTATAACCCAAAGGTTTACAACTTCATTTGTCCTTCAATGGACCAGAAAGAAAAGAGTCTAATAGCTGAAGACTCTATTGGCAGAACAACTTGAACAGGGGCTTACCAGACAGGACAGAGTCCAGGGAACTCTACATCTCTTAGGCTGCACAGGTCAATGCCTCCCACCTGCTCCATCAGCACTCTCCCTATCCACTCTTCGAACCTCGCACAAATGATGCTCCTAGCCAGTTAACCCCACAGTGACCCCTAAAGGTTCCACAAAGTTACTTTTAACACTCCCGGAGTCCTGTACAACAGAAAGTCAGTTAGACTCTTTCACAGACAAAATTATGCAAATGTGTCCCCTATTACTAAATTAAGGTTATTCCAAAGAAAACAAACAATTATATTTTATTATTGTATGCAGAAAAATAAACTTTACAGTTTACGTCCAGGTATTTCAGCATCTGTCTGTTACTAGCTGACTTGTTGCTATGATACAAATTATGTTGTTTTGGTAAATTCAATCTTCAGAATGCTAATAAAAATTGATTGAACAAGAACATAATAGAATAAAGTAAAATATAGATTTACCTGCATAAGCTGCTGCAATTTAAACACCCTTTTGTATATTGCAGAGTTTGGAACATTATACCGTTTAGCATTCTCAAACATCAAATTTAATTCGGCTTCCAAGTGGTCCAGACTCTCAAATTCTTGGTTCTTTAGCTTATTTCTGCATAGAAGAAAAGGAAACACAACTTATCACAAAAATTGCTGTGGAAAAGGTAATAAACGTTTTACCATGGCTGACAAAAAGCTTTATATTCATTAGAGGGTTAGAACCACTGTTAGATTTTTCCCACTGCTTTCCCACTGCCTCTTTTATATGGGAGATTCTCATTTCCAATCTTTTGATATAGGCATCAAGAAAACAAACAAACAGGAAGTTGGACTATTAGACTGCGGGAGGGTTAGAACCTCAAAAAGTTTCTACTGCTGTGTCTTCCTTTACTTCCTGCCCATGTAATAACTGTCAGACAGACATTTAAAATGTGCTGGAAATAGATATGCTTTAGGTGCAAACCAAAGTCCAAAAATGCATTGCGTGAGGAAACTAAACTGAGACAGATGGGACAGGCACAGTCTCTAGTCAATAGGGGCAAACTATTAGTGGACAAAAAAGAAAAAGGTTCTAATTTTTTTTTTTTTAAACCTAGTCATATTACATTGCTTGTATTTCGAAAAACAAAATACATTAAACTATAAATTAAATAAATTACAGAATACAGAGCTGCATTCATTTGTGCTTTTTTCTATCTAGTTGAATAAAAAAAAAACCTAAATGGAAAAAGTAGTTTAAAAATTTACATTACTCGATAATAGTCTAAGCAATGTTCTACAGTCAAAAAATACCTGGTGATCAGTCCCTTCAGAAAACAACTCCTTCCTGGAGGCCATGTTAGGCACATGGCAGACCTAGTCATATACGCTGGAGAGGGATGAGGAGAGCCATGCAATAGAAAGGGATGAGGTGCAGTGTGCAATGTAGAGGGGCGAGTTGTGGCATGCAATAGAGAACGATAAAAAACTATCAAGCTGCTAGTACACAGTAGAACAGGAGAGAGTGGAGGGAAAACACAACATACAAAATGACACAAGTGTGCCCCTTAACAAATCACAGTCCCATGGAGCTGCAGAGAGAAACATTTGTGAAGGTTTAGTAATTCTCTTCAGTAGGAAAAAGTAACATCACTTCCTCATTCACAAAATAGAATACTATTGCGTTATTCCGGATGAGTAGGACAGGACTGGCTAGTGTATGCGGTGGCAAATATCACTGGTGACAAGAGTACTGGGGAAGTGAACTGTGTAATGGAGTGCAGATATCACTGATTTTAATGTACTGTATACTGGAAAGAAAGCTTTGTGCTAGAGACAAGCTTTTACTTCTGGTATGGAAAGGAGTGATGTGTGCTGAGGACACACATCTCACTGGTCCCTCCCATTGCACTATACTCCCTGCACAAAATAAGTGAATTCACTTCCTGTATAAGCAGTCTCCTCCTAATTAATTTTAAAGTCTAATTTTCGGGGACTTCTGGAAACACAACTACTATAGCTAGCAGATTATTAATACTGGGCATGCACCGATATATGGGCCCCTGAAACATATCGGCCGAAAATGGCAGTTTTGGCATAATGCCTAAAGTGCCATTTTCTGGCCAAAACAGTGTTTGTACATAATTGAGGACAGAGTATGGTTACTATATCCTCAATTATGAATGAATGGGAAGTGATCTACATCACCTCCTGTTAATTCATGATTGTAGTTATAGTAAATATGCTATGAATGATCAGGAACACTCACTATAGAGGATTCTTGCACATTAGTTACAAAAAAGTTAAAATAAACATTTTCAGTTTTGGTCTGACATTTTTTTTTCAGTTTGATTTTGAAATTTTCATTTCGGTGCACTTCTAATTACTACTATTAGTTGGCAAAGAGAAGATGAATTGCCTATGTATGAAAAAACATTTAATTTCAGTCTATAAAAAGGTAAAACAAACAGTCATATCTTTACCTGATCTGATATAACGAGATGGGATTTTTGATTTGCTGGTAATAATCAGGATATTTTTTCTTTGATGGAAGTTGAAAGAAAGGTTCAGCAATCAGTTGACCCTGGTTATTTCGGCAAGACCTGACAGTCTCATAAAGCTGGTATAAAGGATTTGATATGTCCATAAAAGAAGCAACACTTTCGCCTTCCGACTCTGCTTCGTCATAGCGGATGGATGATGAAGATGTTGCTGCTGTAGCTGTAGCTGCTGCTGCCGCTGCTATGGAAGCAAATGCATAATATCAGTACAGAAACCTGTGTATTTAGCGGAACTACAAAGGGTAATTATAAAAATTTTAGAATGGCCTCACTAAAAGACAGAATCTCAAAAATGTACAGTGCTCTGGTCAACACACACACACCCTCCCACGCATCCTACATTTTGTCCTATGACCCGTGTTCAGCACTGATCATAGCAGAGAACCTTTTCCATGTTTGCCATGTCTCCCACATCTTTTAGTAATCTCTAAATGGGTTTAGGGGTTTCAAACGTCTGCATTCCATAATGCACTGTATGGTGAAATATCTAGGTTATAGGTGCAGGAGGAGAGGTCAGTGATATCTGTCCCCTATACACACAGTTCAGTCCTCAGTATTTTTATCCCCATTAATGTCTGCCCTCCAAGTACACAGAGCTCACTGCCCAGTATCCATGCAATCAGAGCAATCTGTACTTATTCACACAGAGTTCATTCCCCAGTATTAATTGCACACATTTGGAGCATTATGTAAACATTAGCAATTAATCACTACTATGCATTACTAAAAGGAACAATTTGTTTATATGTGCAGTGATCGATTTGTACTGCTAGAAATTTAAGTGATCACTCACTTAAAGTGACACTAAACCCTAACTAATAACAAAAATGTATCTTAATTTGTGCATCACTCAGCTGTAGATCCTCAAATTATTTCTGAATTTGTGCTGCAGCACTCCTTCCTTCTGGAGGGTGTCTACTTTTGTTCCAAAGGGTCCCTGTGCATGTTGTAAATTAGCCACCGCTCCAAGCTCACTCCTGTGATAGACTACAGTCTCAATACTAATTAGTTACCTAAAACATCTCCTGAACAACTGACTGTTACCCATAGCAACTACTAAATATTGTATTACTTTGACTTAGCTACTAAAATAACCCAGATAGATCAAGACTTAAAGCTCTTTCACTCAGACAATGCCAACCAACCAATCACTGCCTTTGCATAAACTCCTCTTCACAGAACAATTAATTTACCCTTTTCTGAAGTCAAATATTGAATCCCCTGTAATTTTGTGGTTGATGAATTTATGAGAGTAGGAGAATAGGGGTAGTAATTTTCAGTATAGGCTTTCCCTATAGACACTCTCAGAGCCATACTGCAGTGCCATTGTGATAGCAGAGAGTCTATCCCCCTGTGCAGGTCGCTTGTTCCTGAAAGAAGTAGTAGATATAAAGTATTAGCAAATCATCCTTATTATTGGTTTCTGGAAAATCAATTCAACAAGAAAATATGGTTGAAAAGAGGGTGCCAACCCCTTATGGGAAAAAATATACACCCCTTATGAACCATACAAGAATGTGAGAGCAGTTTTGTACCTGCTACGTAAACTTGACTTGGAAGACTCTGTATAATCAACTTCTGATTTCTTCATGGCAAAAAGTTTCTTTATGTTATTTGCATCCTGGAAGAAACAGGGTAAATATGTTATGCGATTTGAATACATTCAAAAGACATTTTATCTGGACTTTTAGGACAGTAGAAAAAAGAAAAAAAAGTTTTAAATTGGATACAATGGGGATGAATTAGAACTCCTGTCATGTGCTCAGATAGAGATTTCCCCTCACTTCTTGTCAGGGTGACAGCTGTTCATTCGACTTCCTGTCTGTTAAAACAGCTGTCCCTGGGACAGTAAGAGGAAATATCTCTCTAATGGACCCTAGAGAGCAGTAAAAACCTGGCAGGAGTTTTCTAATCTTTTCTCACACAATCCCAAAAAGTTTTGGCTGGACATTGACTGTAAAGTGAATTTCCACTTTTGCAGCCAAATTGGCATAACTCCCATTTTACATTTGTTACGTTCATATAGCATAATAAAAATTGCTGCTTACATTTAAGTGTTTTTTACTTGCTTAAAAAATCCTATCTAGCTTCCCCCACTATATAATGTGAAGGAGGGGGCTGTGGGAAGTTATGTTAACTCTAATTAACCCTGTCTGTACTGTGCTGGCAGATTTATCAGTTGTAAACTAGATTTGAACACTGTCTTTAAGGGTTAAAGACTTAGAAGCATTATATGTTAATGAGAGGAAGCGTAGTCTGTCCCTCTACATTCCCTTTCAAACAGTTCAAAGTAACCTTTAGCAAAGAAACATCTATAAAAGGTGAGACATATTTTTAAGAAATAATTTTTATTATTGGGAACACACGTGAATTGGAACACAAACACATAGTAGGGTTTTCTCAATTCTGACTGAAAAATACACTTTAAAAAGGTCAGCTCAACTGGGCTTAGCTACCTAAACTACGTACTGTATCCGCTTGAGTGGTTTATCTCCTACCCTGTCCTCATGCCTCATGTCGGGCTGTATTGGGAGGAGACGCTACAGACGGCCCTGGGTCTGCACCGACCTACAGTATTCCTATTGTGCATTGTGTTACGTGAACTACCACTGATGTAGATAATATGATACCGCTCAGATACTGATGACTATCCTGTTGATGATATCCAAAGGCCTACTGGCCCACAAGCTATTGCCTTTCACGTGTAATTTCCTGTACTATGTCCAGTGTTTATTTTTGTCAAGGTGAAAATGTTTATTTACCTTTTTGTACCGCATTTTAAACTTTAATGAACTCAGATTGAACTAAAAAAAAAGGTCAGATTTACACAGTTCTGGTGCCTTACCACATGCATATTAATGTGCATCACTGTAAAGCAGTCAATTAATTCTGAATTGGCTGCCCATATATTTAGACCTTTTTAATGCACATGCAACATTTATTTTTCTCGTGTATCACAAAGCATAGAGGGCTCACGTGTTTGTTTTGGTGTGCTGGGCGGCTATTAGAAATGAATGGCTTTGCATTCTGGGTATTTATACAGGGATGATACTTCCCCAAATCTTTCTGGTTTAAGTGTTTTGTTCTCTATTGACTGGTATTATCCTTCCAGATCTACGTATTGACTGTTCTGATTTCCAATTTTTGTATTGTTTGCCCTATTTGCAAAGGCTTAAAGAAAAATAAATACATAAATAATAATGAATGGCAATGCACCACAGTTCCGGTGTTAACATGCATTGCGTTAAATGCACACATCACTGCAACATGAAATATTAATCTGGCCCAAGGACTCCTACACATAGGATTTAAAGGGGAGCATGGTGGACAATCTTGATGCCCCCCAAGAGCTCCTTAAAAGAGAACTATGGCGTAACCTTTTTTCTCCCATAGTTCTTTTTAGGGTCACGGGAGGACATATACTAACCTCCTCCCGTGACCCAAAGCTCAGCTATTGCTCGCTATATACTGAGAGCACTGCAGCTGGGGCGGATCCCGACAATACTGTCTGGATCCACCCAGCTGCGTGAGTGACAGCTGGCCCTGCCTATCTAGAGGCAGATCCAGGTTTGCCTGTCCCCTTTCCCCGTCCGTTCCTCCAGTCAGTGCTGGAGGATCGGAGAGGGGAGCAATCCCTGCGGGGAGTGGTGACTGCCAGTCAACGCTCTCTGCAGGTAGATGATCGGGAAGCGAGCGACAGTATGTGTTTGCTCACTTCCTGATCTATAGAGCCGACGTGTAATAGTTTCAATGGTCACACATCGACTCTAACTATGAGGATGGGTGGAAATCACTCACCTCATAGTTCTCCTTTCAATTATCAGGTAGATTGGTCTGAGCCAAAATGGCTCAGCGTATACAGTTGTGTGGCTTTGCATCTTACTGGTGACTGAATTGAACTGCTTTTCCTGAAAGGCAACAGGAACAACTGCTCTGGGTGCTCTACTTCATGTATTACCTGTATGTTCGGTACCTGTCCTGATTGAATGCTTTGTAATGTCTTTCACTCACCTTAAACACCTGGGAACCTGGCTCGTTGTAAGTTTTCGCATTCTTTGCTAGCAGATCAATGTCTTTGGCCATTGCATTAACACTTTTATAGTAACCAGACTGTAATAAAAACAAATGACATTATAAAAATGATGAACCTACTAGACCAGCCTTCCTCAATCTTTTTACCACAAAGATAAAAACCAGTCATCAGAGGTCAGTGGGAAAAATGTCTCCCTTACAGTTGAGGTCAGAACACCACCCATATAGACAATAATCGTCGTCAAATTGAAAGTAAACCAGCGACTGCTCAAGAGACACCTCTAGCAATCTCTGGAGGAAACTCTGTTGAGAATAACTGTTCTAGAAGAATGACAGAGCCCCTACCTACTAAAACACAATGTTCGTATTATTTTATTCATACTACTTTTTAAATGCAAGACAACAACCACACCACCATACAGATAATCTTTTATTCACATAACAATTAGCATTGTGGTTTAATTAGATTACATGTTTTCTTCTCTAGTATTAAAAAATACTGTAGTGCAGGGGTGTCAAACTCAATTTCACCGTGGGCCGCAACAGCATTATGGTTGCCCTCATTATGGTTGCCCTCATTATGGTTGCTTGTATCTGTAAGACTATATAAATGTGTCTACTCTTTATCATATTACAGCTGCATTTGATTATTACTGATTTTAGTAATAACCTAAAAACTAGCTCTGAAAGTAGAAGTCTCGGAAAAATAAGGGCAATTAGTGTTATTGTGCGGACTCTCAGGTGGCTGTGGAGGTTCTATGGTGGGCTGTGCATGGTTTTAGGAGGGCTGTGTAGTCTCACAAGGGTTACCGTTGGTCTTGGGGGGGCGCGTAGTGCAGGTAACGTGGATCCACAGGAAGGAGGAGATTCGCTGTAAATAGGAGCCACAATTCCCCTTGTTGGGGACCTGGGCAGCGTTTATGTGAAGCCCGACGCCTGTTTACAGCACCAGCTCAGGTTTTAACATTTGAAGCGCCGGTATCAGCACTTATAGTATCACAGTATCGGGGTATTTTCACAAGTACTAGTTAAAATGGCCAGTAGGGGGGTGCCGCAGCTGCAGAACAGGTGAGAGGGCCAAATTTTGTTTATTTAACACATTTGATAAAGAAGGTGGAACATGGCTAAAAAGTTGCATACCTGTATCCTCTGTGATACTGTCTTCAGATCTATGGGATCTTTAATTATGGCATAGTAGTCTGGGTAATGCTAGAGATAATAAAATATAAAACCAACTATTAAAAAAAAAAAATATATAAAATGCAAAAATAATTGTGAATTGCAAACAAAAAACACAGTAAATTTTGCTATATTGTAAGAAAGACTGTATATAAATAAACCCCCGTCATCACATACACTAGGATTGCCCAAATGTGCTTAGAACAAATAAATAAAATGCAGACAAGCTTTTAGTTGCCCAGAAAACACCAGCTGTGCATATCTTTTGTCATGTATAGACAATTAGCTATTTTTCCTGACTGCGCTAAAATTATCACAAACAGCCTGCAGAAGATTCCTCCCTGAAAACAACAAAGAACTGTTAAACATGTCTGAAGCGAGACCTGAATTGATAACCATATCCTCCCAGCAAAACATCCAATACGGTTCTCTATTTGAGCCCCATAGAAGGAAAGGTGTCTGTATTACCTGCAGTGCATTCCAGAGTTTTTACAGCCCATGCAAAATAAATGGGCAGCTTACCACAACGCACACAATACTGTGTAGTAAAATCCTGTTCCCATTGTGTGACAGATTCTTTGTCACTCACCATTTTAGATGGGACTTTCTGAAACAGTTCACTGATTAGCCTGCCATTGGGATCTGTGGCAGAGGTGACAGATTCCAAAAGTTGTTCCAGGATGGGCTTCAAATAATTCTGAGATGCCTAAAAATAAATAAGTTTAGTTGGAACATTCACACAAATGTTTTCCTTATAACGTTAATAAAACTCAAGTGTTCCTTTGTCTACAAGAATATAAAATTGGGCAAGAAAAAAAAAAAAAAAAAGTTTGATTGGAACACTCACACAAAAAATGTCTTAAGTTCTCTAGTTACAAATATTGTAGATGGGGGTTTCTCATAACGTAGATAAAGCCCAAGTTAATTTATCTACATGACATATTTAGAAACATTAACACATGGTGATGTCAATTGAAATCAAATGCAATGAAACAATATACAGCACATTGGCACACACTTTCATAACCTACCTCTCCTTCTGCAGTATCCTGTGCATCATCTTCGTCATCGTCCTCCTCGCAGTCACCCTTCTGGACGAACTCATTTTTTGTGCGTACATAAAGATCCCAAAGTTTACATGCAGCTTTGTATTCTGGCGTATCAGACTGTAGAGCAGAATGGAAGAAGTATAGTATTCTTTTTTTTTTTTTTAAAGCATTCTCGTATACAGTAAGGTATGGCCTACTTTATAGAAATTATTCAACCACTGAAGTGTCTGATGTGATTGCATTTCAACACAGGAAGAAATGTGATCTTGCATCATAACTATCAGCTGAGCACAACAAAACAGATTTGTGAGCAAACAGGCTTTATTGTCATTAAATTGCCAAATGATTTCTTAACCACAAGTACCTCATAAACGTACAATAGCACATATACAATACAGACAGATCAGTTGGCTTACTGGGTGTTGGAATATATATTCACACGGGCTATAGGCTGACAGCTTCACTTAAAACAGAACTCCAACCTCACCTGTTTCTGCCCCATCTGCATCTAGTGCTTGGTGGAAAACTGTTCTGCTTGGTAAGGACTTGTCCATTGAGCTGCATTTTTCTGCACACCACCGCAGAACATACATGGTGTAAACGAACCCTAACAACACCCACCCCCCTTTTCCCACTATGTACCTCCAATATTTTTTTGAACAGTATTGCAGCAGGCACACTTCCGGTCTGCAGAAGCACAGCCTCCAAAAACCATTGACTGTCTCAGACCGCTTTGACATCCCCCTGGGCATCAGAGGGTGTCCATCTTTGTTACTGCGTCCCTTGTAGTTAACAGTACATTAGTTTTATCAGGACAAGCATCCATACAAACCTGCCCAGAAGTAATCATGAGGAGGAAGGCAAGAAGCATTTATTGCAGAAGAGACATAGCGCGTATCATCAGCGATAAAAAAAAAATCCTGCTCACAAGCATCAAATCGGGGCTGTAGATTGACTTTAATATCTTTTCTGGCCTCTGCCTACCTTACTTTGGTAAGCAAGGCCAAACTTTTTTGACTTAAAAGATCTAGTCACATTTGTCCAAAGTAAAACTAGTTTGATAAAAGCCCAGGGCTGGAAGCTTCAGACCAACAAAGGTTAACCAAACTGAAAAAAAACTTTCAGCGCATAGAAGGGAAAATAGCGGTCAATTTCAGTTTATGAAAAAAAAAAAAAATTATATATGGTGTCATGTTATGTATTGCTCTGCACTTTCTTTGGAGCCATGCTGGATTGAATAATACTGTATGTGCTAAAAAGCACACAAAAAAGCATCACAGCAAGTGTGCACAGGTCTGTCTGCGACCGCGATCTCGACTAGAAGAAGCCACGACCACGTGTCATAGTGGGGGAAGATGGCTGCGGTTATGTTCGTCACCTGATTTAGAGTTCGCGTATGGAAGCAAAATTTTGCCCAACTTCCTGTTTGCGAACAGAGGTATTGACAGGGGCAGGGAGAGGGAGGGAGAGAGAACTAAGGAAAAAGCATCAGGCTCCTTTTAGTTCCTGGCAACACGTCAGAAGACCTGCTCTGCAGTCACATGGTCAGTTCTGACAGAAATAAATCAGTCTGAATGCTTATTCTCCCCTTCAGCACACAACCAGACAAAGATTGATGGCCAGCACTAAAAGAGGGCTGGGGTAGCATAATCGGCAGGAAAGGTTTTTGCCCATGTATTACTGTCTATCCATTCCAGCAACACCAATAACATAGCTTTATTTTAACACCTGAGCAAAGGCACATTTTACATTCCACTAAGAGCAAGATTGTAAAGTCATTTATGGCTTTATAAAATTGAGGCCATCTTTGCCTTTATAGCAAAGGGAAAAGAAATATCACCTTGTAATATGCTTTGGCATTCTTGAACAGCAGCTGAAAATCTGCAGTCAACAAGCTGACTTCGTCATATTCCTCCATCTTTAGTTTCTGCTGGATTTTCATCAAATCAATCGGCTGGGAAACAATTTCATAGTAATCCGGTTGATTCCTAAAAAAAGAAGAAGTAATTAACAGAAAGCAAATTATAGGTACAGCTATTCACAATCAGGTACTAAAAACAGAGGACACTGACCATCGGGCTTTAACATAAATATTCCAAAATCCAACTTTCAGTTAAACAGTGTTAAAATGTTCCTCCTGTGTTCAGGAGTGCTGCACAGTAATTACCGTACGCAGAACCGTTTCATCTGACCCAGTGCAAGTCTATCCTTCTGCTGACACTAAAAGAGCCCATACACCTTATGAATATCGCACGATTTTCGTCTGCGAATGCGTTTTCGTAGGATAATCGAATAGGTGATGGGAAGTGCACAACCATAATTACTGTAAAACCCTTTCGACTTTTGTCTTTCCAGCAGGCTAGAAAACTTTTATCGAATCGTTCGAAATTCAGTGGATTAATGGCGATTTCGTTCGGGGAAAAAAAAAAAAAATGCAACAAGAACACTGCTCATGCGCAAACAAAAATCTGTTATGTCAATTGACGAAATTCTGCCAGGTGATATTGTCAACGAACGCTAATTGAAATCCACAATGGTCTGTGCATGATGGAGCAGTTGTACGAAAATGGAATGAGAAAATTTGTGCGATGGTTGTGAGGTGTATGGGCACCTTAATACTGAAGATCTATTCCCACTCTGTAGCTTATTCTTTATATCAGAAGCTGGAGCAGTAATGTTTACTAGATACCTGATCGACTGCATATCCGTTTAAGATCTACATCTCTGTATATAAAATATAAATCACAAACATATGGCAGAGCAGGAAAACATAAGCCACCTTACAATCTGCAATCTCAGCAGCAAGACAAAAATATTTTCAAATATTTATTAACTCTGTTTCAGGGCCCGTTCACACCAGATGCAGTGCGTTCCGGCCCGATTCTAGCCAGAACGCACTGCCTCGCATTGCGGCCGGCTCACTTTTTTGTGAAGTGATTGGCACCGTAGCCACGCCCTCCGGCTGCAATGCGAACAGCTGCACGGAATCGCAAGACACATTATGCCTGCGGTCCGGTGCGATCAAAATAGTGCTTGCAGCATTTTGATCGGAACGCACTGCATCTGGTGTGAATGGGCCCCTCAGTCATATTCTACGAAAGGAACTGTAGACAAAGCATGCCACAAGAATCTCCTGGCGAATTGTGGGTTAACCAGAAAGAGGTGGGTGCATCTATAGCAGGGCTAGGCAAATTCCAGCCCTCCAGCTGTGGTGAAACTACAAAACCCATCGTGCATCTGCCTCTGGGAGCCATGTGTAGCCCTTTTGCAATGCCTAATGGTATTTGTAGCTGCACCAAACCTGGAGGGCCAGAGTTTGCCTACCCCGATCTATAGATTTCATATGGAAACAGATATGAAGGGTTGATTTGTCCACATCTAACAGGGTTATTCACAAAAGGGTGAAGAGTCTGGAGAAGGCAGGAGAAGTGAACGATCTAGGACAACATAGTCGTCTAATTCAGCTCACTTTCCATCTCAGCTATGTTGTCCCAGATTGTTCACTTCTCCTGCCTTCCCCAAACTCTTCACCCTTTTGTGAGTAACCCTGTAAAACGTCAAAGCCTGAGCAGGAATAGGAGAAAATAAAAATGGTTTATAAACTAAATTGCCTTATTGGCGTGTCTTATATAATGTGCAAAAAGCAGGAGGTGAAAGTTGAAAACACCAATCTACAACTCGTACAAATTCATAAAGGACAAAAAGAGTTTATGCTTCAACCCAGTACAAAGTCAAGCAAGGATGTAAGGTTCTATCCCAGCTACACACCAGGCAAGGGATGAACCTTCACCACTATTCATCTTCTGATGGACAAATAACAAAATGGTATTGCCATAGCCAGTGGGGCTACCCCTCCACTGTAAGGGTTAAGCAATGTGAAAAAAAAGTTATACTAATCCGAACCGCTGAGCCAGCTGCATGCTTCTCCAGTCTCTGTAGCCTGTCTCCTCCTTTGCATCTTCACATCTATACACTGTCTATAGAACGTGATGATATACAGGACCTTAGACCGCTGCAGCGGAGGGGGGAGAGAGGCTCCAAGGACCGGTCTAAGAGCGCCGGCTCTTTTTTTTTTTTTTTTAACGTGCAAAAAAAAAAGCACTTAACCCTTGCAGTGCAGGAGTAGTCCCACTGCAAGGGTTAAGAAACATTCTGCAAATGACAACCATCATTGATAAAATCACAATAATAAATTTTTACCTGCGTTTCGGTGCCCTAATAAAGAGTTCACATAGAATCCGACCTTGATCATCTTTGTAGTCTCTAACTGTGTTGTAGAGTTCATGGCACACGGCAATCTAAAAAAGAAGAAGAAGTGGTAAATAACATAAGACAACTACAACACAGCAGGTCAATATATCATTGGAGAATAAGGGAACATGAAATATACTTTCTGCCCATAAATACCACTCATGGGATACTTTCACTTTCTAACAAAGTCAAAACTGTACATTTTATATCACTATAAACTTATTACCATGGAAAAAAAATACAATGGATTAGATTGTAAGCCCTCAGGGGCAGGGCCCTCCTTACCATCTTGTCTTGAATTGTGATTGTAAGCACACTACTAGGTCTGCTACCGCCGGCTGTACCAACACCAGCACTCACCCCGTATTGCCAGCTAAGCCGTCTCCGTCCCCCACCTCTTTCACAAACGCAGTGTGACATCACCAGCATCCTCCACATCGCAGAGACTATCGGCCCCAGCACCGCCACAGCCCGCCCCTCCCCCTGTCGGCAATCTCCTTGTCACAGTGTGACACTACCAGGGAAGACCTCGGACTCATCCCCCAAGGACATAACCGCCTAAACCCCCCTCCTTGACCAGCAAGTGAAGAAGACACCGCCTCTACCTCCTCGCCACCCTCGATCAACAGAACAACAGGCAACAGACATCCCACCAAACAACAAGTCGCAGCCAAGAGTCCTTGGAACACCAGAACCATCCATCTTCACTCGTCGCCGATGATTTTATAACACTCCTTATCTAAGGCAAGTAAAGAACACACCGCCACCGCCTCGGCTTCCTCGCTATCTTCAATCAACAGGACAACAGACGACAGACATCCCACCAAACAACGGGCCACAGCAAAGACCATTTGGAACACCGAAACCACCCACCTCTACTCCTCGCCGATGATATCGCAACACTCCTTACCTAAGGGTAAGTTACTACATTTGTTTTGAGTTATTTTCACACAATTTTACTCAGCGCTTCTCCCCTCCCTTTTCTGTTAGACTATGACAACCAATCAACTTCTCTTTTCAGTTTGTTCAATTAAGCTTTGAAAATGAGAGGTGGATGCTGATTTGTTGCCATGCAAAGCTGCTCCAGGTTTTGTCTGCTCCCGTTCTGATAAATTCTCCACAATGTATTCTGTAGGTTTTCCCCTCAACTTACTGGATCCACAGTGGCCACATTAGCAAGTCTCCTCCTTTTCCTGACAGAGTTCGGGGTACTTGTGGCATGGGGTGAATCGTCAAAGTCTCCACCGCTGACACTGCTGGATGGGGACGTGGCTCTGCGTCTCTTGGAGCTCATGAGCTCTACGTTGTCCTAAAATAAAGTGGGACAAAAAAAGTGTTTATCATTCAAAACATCTGAGTAAGATACAAAATATTAAATTGGTCACTTACAACCTTTTGTAAATGTTAGGAGTACATTTAACCCTTATATGCGACCCCCCACATGTTTACATTTCTGAACAATTGTTTCTATACTTTGTAGATTTTAACATCTGATAGTAGCTAACTTCATTATGTAAAACTGGCCACACAAATTACTACTTTATCCGCGAATTGCAAAAATGAAAATCATCATCACAATCAACTGCTCTAGTGGGTATAGAATCAAGTATGTTTGTTGTGTTATATGGAAAGTGATGTGGAAATGTAACTTGGATTTACTTCTTCTCAAAGAGATGACAATATTACTTCCTTTCTCCTCAGAAGCCCACTCCCATCTCTACTCACGCATCATAAATGGTCAGATTCTACTTCCTAGAGGTAAATCCTTTCCCAGATGTCGCATGTTGCCTGTGCTCTGAACTTTTTCCACACACAGATCAGTCCCCTTCTGTCTCTAATCCTGCAAACCGCTACAAAGTTACAATGTCACTGTTGGAGGATCTCTGGATGAATGCCATGCGCTCGTTAGGCCTAGGTTCACACTACTGCTAAAAAATTATGTTTTTCAGTGTGTTTTTGTAGCACATTTATGATGCTTTGTCATGCGTTTTCCTGCATTTTTCTTTTGACCAATGACAAGTAGGGCTGCAACAAATAAATCGACTAAAATCGATGATTGTCAATGTTTTCCATCATCGATTAGTCAGCTTTTGATTAGTAGCCCCTGTACGCGGCTCCACGCATGCCGCACCACCTCCCCTAGCTCTGAGCTCTCTCCGGCCGTTGCCCGCCAAGATGATCACGTCGTTGCAGGGGGACTGCAGTGTGGGGGAACGGCAGCTGCCGACAGTCCAAAGATCTCGGGGGGAAGAAAGTAAAGTTGCTTGAAGATGGCAGGTAAGATTGCCTACACTTTTCCCCCACATGTGTATAAATGTATTGCTGGGATATTGATTGGTTGTATTTAGGGCTGCAACAACTAATCGACATAATCGATTATAATCGATTATTGAAAAAGTTGCCAACTTTTTCAATAATCGATTAATCGGCTTCCGATCAGTTGGCCCTGTTCACGGCATCACTGGAGCCATTTGCCTGAAAATAATCGTTACAGTCCCTCACAGCTGCAAGACCCGCCCGCCCGCATCCACGCCGTACCTCCTTCCCGCCTCACACTCACCACCCGCCCACATCCACGATTGGCACAGGGACGCGGGGAGATGTAGTGAGGAGGAGGAGGTGTGGGGGGGATGACAGCCACCGATAGACAGGCCCGATCTAATTTCTTTTTTTTTTACTTCCACCGCACCAAGCTTGCTCCTGGGATGGACTACAATTTCAATACAAACTAGTAGTCCATCACTGGAGCCATTTTTATTTTTCCGATTAACCAATTAAATCGAACTTAATAATCGGCTAACTAATCGATTTTGAAAATAATCGTTACCTGCAGCCCTGATGACAATCAATATTTGCTGTTTCATCAGTAGGCGTCATTTTTCTTTCAGGAGGGTTTAAGCACAAAAACAACAAAATGCATGTACATGCGTTTTTCATGTGCTCCCACTGAGTACTATGGGGCCAAATGCACTATTTAACACTAAAACAAGTATCAGCTCCTTTGCAAAAACTGCACTGCACCATGTTACATTGATGTGAAAGAACAGCATTAAGAATATTGTGACATCCATGGCAGCCCAACAAAAGGACGCAGGACAAATTTCACTAGTGTGACAGCTGCAGCCACTGCGTGTCAGAATACCCGGCCAGTAGAATAGCCAACAGGGGAGATTCCCCCATCTACATTAAGCGAGTTCATTTTTTTTCCATTCAGCCCACAGAGATGCCAGCGTAGGGCCAGCTATACAAAACACAATTACAGCCTGTTACAATGCACTGCGGTAGCGCATGTTGCTGCGTGTGCTGTAGTCTGTGTGAGCCTTTAAAGAAGAACTCCGGGTAGAAGGAATCTGAATCCTTATAGTGGGTCTCTCCCCAGCACTACAAGGGATAAGCGCTTGTTTTAGTCTAGGGTCTAAAATAGCAAAGAAATACTCACCGGTACCTCAGACTCGGCTGGTGCTCCCCGCAGCCTCTCTCCTTCTCCGCTCTGGTGGTGGTATGACCCTCTGTGTCCTCACATTCAATACACTGTATTGGATGTGATGAATCATGGGACCTTAGATTGCTAGAGCAGAGGGGAAAAGAGGCTGCGATGACTGGTCTAGCAGCCAGTGGGTCCAAGGTTTGGGTGTTTCTTTGTTATTTTAGCCCCACTACAAGGGTTGAGATTTCATTCTTTAAAGTTAATGTTTTCTTCATCCCAACTATCTTAACCCAATAGTGCTGCCTAAGTGCAGTCACAGTAAGGTGCGTGCCATTACAGTACCTTTATTGTGCATAAAAGACTGCTCCATGTCCTGAGATAACTTCCACTATGGAGCCAATCAACTTGCATCCCCAAGCCCCGCCCATCTGTAGCCCCTCCCTCTCCCCATCCAATAGGATTGCCTTTTCTTACACTTATTTGAACATTTTTAGAGGGGATGGTCAGAACTCAGACTGGCTACTCCACCTTATCAGCAAAGTTCATTTGATCAAATGCTTAGGCTTTTAGACACGTGACTGGCACTGAAGGGAGCCTTGAGTGGCATTTCCTCCAAGAAAAGCAAGTACGTATTCATTTCTATTAGACACAAATATTTTAGGCCGTAAGAACATTTGCATTTTGTTTCCAATATGGAAATATTCTCCAAAGCGGGGTGGCAAACTCCGGCCCTCCAGCTGTTGTGGAACTACAAGTCCCTTGAGGCTTTGCAAGATTCTCACGGCCACGACTCGCAGAGGCAGATGCATCATGGGATTTGTAGTTTCACCACAGCTGGAGGGCCTGAGTTTGCCACCCCTGAGCTAAGCCCTCATCTCCTACCCTAACCACTCCACTTTTCCCGATATACAGTATGCAGGCAGACTATAATCCACATCCCACGTTCACTCACCCTATGCTGGAGGAAGATAAGATTTGAGCACCCATGGGGGACCAGTGAAATACATATACAGTAATACCTTGGTTTAGAAGTAACTTGGTTTGAGAGTGTTTTGCAAGACAAGCAAACATTTCTGAAAAAGTTTGCCTTGATATACAAGCAATGTCTTGCAATAAGAGCAAAATTTTGTAGAAAAGCGCCACCCGAATAAGGCTGTAGCAGTGCGAGCGATGAGTCTGTTTAACGACAATGCAATGTCACATTGGATAGATTCCTTGTTAAGGTTTCATGAAATGAAAAAGATTCCATTGAGATAGCAGTGATTCCGCTAGTGATAGTGAAAGTCGTCCTACACAATAATCCTCCTCTCTCTTGTCCCCCTCACACCAGCCACAAAGGTACCGGTAATTGGTTTATTTTTCTTTATATTTTGTACAGTATTATATTACAGTACAGTATTGTAATCATTTTTATATGAATATTTTTGGTTTGTGGAACGAATCATCTGAATTTCCATTATTTCCCATGAGGAAATTCGCTTTGATATACAAGCGCTTTGGATTACAAGGAACAAATTATGCTCGTAAACCAAGGTATTACTGTATATGAAAAACACGCACACACACACACACACACACACACACACTAAAGTACTAGTCTGGCAGCAGTTTGTGTCTCTTGTCCTTCAATAAAACTTCGGGCCTGTGAACTCTTTCCCCCTCCCTTACCCCTCTTCCCTCTCCCCCCATCATCACACCTGTTGCTTTGTTGTTGGTTAATGTTTATGCTTGATGTGTTGTCACGGTGTTGAAGTTGATTGAGTTTAAGGTATTTGATGTGGATCCTACGGACCACATACTCAGTCCGGGGTAATGCGGTGTCATGAATGACGTGGAGGGCTCAGGATTCTTGTCTTGCGCTACACGACAGGCATCTCGCCGCAGTGCGAATGTAATTTATTGTGTGATTGAGTTGTATTGCTATGTGGTGTTTATGCGGTGCGTCGCAGTACGAGGTAGAATGAACCCTGATTGTATAGCTTGTTTTTGTATATTTTTATTACATTAATAAAGTATATTTTTCAATCAAAAAACTCGTCTGGCAGCAGTCTTTGGAAACATTGGCAATGGTTGTTGTAAAGCAGAAATCCAGGTATAAAGTATTATGCATAATTGCGTTGGTACAGCTTTGTCCAATGTAAGTACACATTCAATATACCTGATAGGCCATTGGGACCATGTAAAGCACTGTAGTAGCTGCTCTCAAAAACAAAAAAGACAGGGGGTCGCCTGCTCAGCACAGGGCCAGTCAGAGAATGCATAGTAATTTTACCAAGGAATACAAGGCACTCTCTGATTGGATGAGGGATGGATCTTAAGGTCACAGCCCCTCAAGAGAACACCTTGTAATCCATTACGTTGTCTCAATGGACCCCATGTCGTGCGAGCAACCCCATGTTTTCAGGGCAGAGGGGAAGCCGCTCAGCACAGCGCAGTACCAGGACCCAATAGATTGATGTAAAGCACTACAGTATTTTACAGGATTCCCATGGGCTGACCGGGTATAGTATATGAATACCTACACCGGGCAAAGCTGGAAAGGCATCTTTCATCATTCTGAACTACCAGTCAAACAGGAACTCTGCATTCCAATTCTGGCTCATTAAAAGGAGAACTATGGGGTCAGTGTTTTTCCCCATAGTTCTCCTTAGGGTAACGGGAGGACACAAACTAGCGTCCTCCCGTTACCCTAAGCTCAGTATACCGCGAGCTACAGCTTGCGGTATACTGAGATGCCGCAGCCGGAGCGGATCCCGGCGTAGATGACGGGATCCGCCCAGCTGCGTTAGTGACAGCTGGCTCTGCCTATCTAGAGGCAGAGCCAGCTGTATCCGCCCCCTCCCCCGTCCGTTCCGCCAGTCAGCGCTGGCAGATCGGAGCGG